TTAAAAAAAATTAATCTTTATTATTTTGATTATTATTTATTTTATTTGAGATAATTTATGAAATTATTTTTTTTTCAATTTCATTATTATTCAATTTTTTAATTTATAAGATTTGTTTCTCATTATTTTAATAAACTTGAGAAAAATAAAACATTAATAAATTATTTTCCAATTTATTTTATATAATATAACTAAATACTGGAAAATGTTTTCAAGTTCATTTTTCATAACACTACCAAATATCCATTTTCAATTTTATTTTCCATAACACTATCAAATATCGAAAAATAATTTACTTTTCAGGAATTTATTTTTTCCAGAATTCATTTTTCAAAAAAAAATAACTTTCCTGCGAACAAACAAGCTAAGAATTCCGGGGGAGAAAAATACACATAAATAACGCCCATAATAGAGAAAAACAAGTACAGGCAGGGGATGAAGCAAAAACTGGTAGGATATATAGGCATATAGCTGGTCCAAGCAAGAGTTCCCTAAAATTCAATACAAGGTACAGCAGCAAAACAATGCAATTTCTCTACTCCTGCCCACTTCCAAAACCATCCCGGTTCTCATGCTGCCATCCAAAATCAGGCCCCTCATGGCCCATATCCCCAGAATAATATTTACCCCGTTTGGACTGTGACGCATGAGGCAAGGGGGGCGGAGGTGGTGGTGGATGTTTAAAGGGCTGTGGTGCCAATATACCTTTGCCATCTCGATGATCCATATTACCAGCATGTATAGCTTCCATCCCCTTGTTGGAAGTGGGTGGGGGAGGAGGGACCATTGGTAGAATTCCTGGATTTCGCCCATAGTCTCCTTGATAAAATGCAATATTTCCCTGAGAATCTGACGAGTTTGCAAAAGCATCAGGAATTCCCTGGCTCCCTGGTGCTGGTCCAGAATTCCAGGGCTGAGAATAATTTGCCATGAAATTCATACCACCTGCTGGGCCTGGTGGGAAGCCCAACAAAGACCCTTGTTCTGCTCCACCATCTGGTGCTGAATCTGGCCTGGCCATCTGACCCATCTCATAGGGTGCAACATAGAATGGCTGAGCTCCCTCAGTTTGGAAAGGAGGAAGACCAAATTGAGGAGTTAATAGAGGATTCGAATTCATTGGCACAACAAAGTTTGATGGTTGAATGGAATGCATAGGCGGGTATTCAGGCATGGGGGTCTCAGATACCATTCCCTGTTGCTTGTCTGCAAACTGGCTGGATTCTTGCTGTGGATGACCCTGTGTGATCTGTTGAAAATGACTCTGTTGGACAGGTCGGTCAAACCCTGGAGGATGGTTATTATTTAGCTGAGGCTCCGATAGGTAATTTTGGGCTTGCCCAAAATATGGTGGTTTTGACATCATTGGCCTTTGTAGTGGTTCTCTAGGCTGCTGCCGACGAGCTTTTTCTTCAAAATCAAGAAGCTGAGAACTTGAACCAGGTGAAATAACTGGCCTTGGAGGAGCTCGAACAGTGGAATCTGATGCTGTTGGTTGTTTAGTACTCTGAACTTCATACTCGTTGCCCTCATCTTTCACTGCATTTGGTTGCAAAAGGTCAGCATGGCTATCATGAATATGAGCTTCAAACTCAGAACTCTTCAGGAAAGATTTAAGACAATGAGGAGCTGCACAGATGAAGATCCCCTCCATCATTTTGATTGTCTGAATCTTCTGAATACGTTCATCACAACTGTGTTCCATGAAAGATCAGAAACAGATAGTGAATTCTTCATAGACAAGGTAAGAATTTGAATATAGATTGAATTAATGAACCTTAGAAAAATTGCTCTCTTTTGTTAAGTCTACCCCACATAACTGCAGTTATAGTAGCATAGTTCTATATTCTCATCAAGACAATAGCAGGCAAACCAAACTAAGGTCATATAGATATGCCAATAGGAAACAGAGATACTGGCAGCTAGTTTAGCATCAACAGACTTTATCATCCTCCAATGTTTTATATACATGCGAGAGTCACATCATGTAGATGAAATAAAATGAAGAAACAACTATACAACACCAAGCATATCTTCAGGTTTGCTGCAAGAGGAACTTGAGGGGACCTGCCCTTTGATGGCAGCATGTACGGATAAAGATATTAGCAGTTGCTAGAGTTGCAAATTCACAATTAAAGCATAAGAAATAAAATGTTCTCACTCTCTCTGTCTCTCTCTCAGTTTGTGTGTGTTGTTCTTTTTGGAGAAAAGGGTTGTCTCTTAATTTTTGGCTCGGTAAAACAGTTAGGGATTTTTTTTCAAGGCTGAAACTCAACATAAATCTGATTTACAAGACACTATAAATTCCAATAAATTCTGATTGTGGTCGGAAAAGGTAGAGGCATGAAAAACTGACATCTTGTAATGATTCACACCTAGTTACTAAAGAATTAAAGGAGTCTCAACATAAATTCTTAGAAGCCTCCAGGAATTATTTCTCAGCTTCTCACATGAAATTAATTGATCATCACTCTCTGAGAAAAGAAACTCAAAATCACATTTCAAAATTCTGGAAAGCTACAAAAACATCTTCGCACTACATGTATCGAAAATCATATATTTCAGTGGCACTATACAACTCGTAACTTTGTTGCAAGTATACAAAAGATCAGAAATCTCCTTACAGATAGCATATTGAATCGCTCCTAGCACAATCAAGACAGAAAGCATGCTCGCAAGGACTCTGCATAAACATAATTTTGTTAGCTCCCACATCAAGCTCTTAGAATAACTACACGACACACAGAAGTATCTTATCAAGCTATTATAATAACACTTCTAGCATTAAACAGAGGATCTTGGATTAATATGCACAAACAGATGTGACCATTTGTTCCGGGGCACAGATTGCACTGGAAGGAGCATTGACAATCTGTGCTTCGTACTGGAACACAGCATTAACTTCTCAAATTCATGGTTCAATATAGTAGCCAAACCATTTTGAGTGGCTCTTCATTCAACTTATTAACAATGACTGCGACCTCCACCTACCTACAATGCTTTTAGTTTTCAAACATCCATTTAACATTCCCATCTCCACTGCACTTGTTTTATAGTCCCTTTAAAATTTTCATTAATAAGAAAAAAAAAAAGCTTCAGGACACACAAAAGAAGAGCACGGCAGCCGTCAGCCAACACTTCTGCTCCGACTAGTATCAATATCAATACTACAAACCCGAAATGTATATTCAGATGGGTGAATATCAACATAATTTAGCAGCCAAGAATCTCGAAAATGTTCTAAGACTATATTACCCCCTACCATGTTTCTTCAACTTTCCCCTTTCCATAATATTCAACCATTTCTTTATCTAAATTCTCCATTCAGTTTCGATTAAATTGTTAATTCCTAATTATTGATGTCACCAAAAACATAAATAAATAAGACAAAACAGGAACACTCGAAATTAATTTACCAGGCGACCGTAGATGGCAATTGGGAAATCACAGCGGACGCAAAAATGGACTCGCTCGCCAAGCTGACGCCGCGATCTGCGGCCCACAGTCTTGACAATGGTAGCAGCGGTTGCACTCCCAATGCCTTTTGCTACGGGAAGATCAGCAAGTACAAGGTGGTCTGGGCAAGCAACCGTCACTGTTTCTGCCGTTAAGGGTTTCACGACCGCCCCTCCTCCACCACCAGCAGCACCGCCGCCACCAGTTTCTGATGATGGCTTGCTAAGTCGAATCAGCATCTTTCCACCAAACCCTAAACAATCTGAAATGATAACTGGGATTTTTCTTCAATAGGGAAGGAGGCTCTTTGTATTCTTCTTTCAGTAATTGTAAACGACGGCTCGTGTCGATTCTCTTTGTATTCTTCTTTGAGTAATTGTAAACGACGGCTCGTGTCGATTTAGAGGTTGCAGCCACTTGTCGTCTGCCAAGCTAATTAAAAAATAAAAACCTCTTATCATGTGATGAAACTAATATAAAACAGTTATTACATTAATAATAAAAAAAAAATAAACGAGGATCCACAAATCCTAATTACACAACTAAGAACAAGTCAGGGAAATCATGAATATTTATTCTGAATTGAAATCAATCAGACACCAAAAATTGTTGAGCTTTTAAGAGTATTGTTATTTTTTAAATGTGCAAATAAAATTAAAAATACACAAAAAACCTGGACAAAAAACCTATTTTTTAGCTTTTAAGGGTTATAAAGTAATTTCACTATATAAAAAATATAAATTTATGAAATTATTCCCGATTAATTGATAAATAACATTTTAATCCCTGAAAAAACAACTCTATCTCCAAAGCCAAGATTATTCAGTGCATTGAAGTATAGTTAATATACTGTTTAAATTTACAATGTTTTCTCACATGCTATTAAAAAAAGATGAGCCCTTTTAGTTTTTTTTTTTTGATATCTTGTCAACCAGCCTGATGTGATGTGAGTTCTTGGAAACAATTGCAAGGAGGGTTACAAGGTGTTCGGGATAATCTAAGGTGGTCAAAATCTGGGCTATTTGTACAAGGCTCATATTTAATAAAATATTCTAAAAATAAATAAAGTATATTTATTAATTATACTTTATAAAATAAAAAGTGCCGTCACGAAACAAAGAATTCCAAGTACAAAATAAACATTGCCTGAAGTCCCAGTTATTAGATATATATAAAAAATAAAAATAAAATTCTTTAATATTGTAAAGAGCTACATTTATAATTTTGTTTAAGACCACCATTCACTTAAGCCTACTTTGGAGATAATAATGTCCTCTGGTTTCACGAATCAGAAAGATCACAAAGGATAGGGATTATCAAATCTATGATTTAGTTTTGTGAGATTTTGAGTGTTGTTGAGGTGTGAGATTTGGCGTTCATGGCAGAGGAGAAAAGAAATCGCAAAGTGAAATCGATCTATTTCTGGTTAATTAATCTGATCAGTGTGTTTTCATGTTATAATATTGTTGTACACAATTAATCAAGAAGAAACGAAGTCCGTGTCAGGAAGAATGGGCCAAAACTTAATTACAGATTACACTTGATAACAATCCAGACTTATGTAAATAATGGGCTGTTTCAGATATGAATGGATCATATAACAGAAATACCCACAAAATCGTAATATACATCCATCAACACACTTGATTGTGCTATTATCAATAGAGGAACAACTTAATTTATAAAAAATAAGTAAAAATAAAAAAATCCAAACACTGAAATATCATCATCTTGATCTGTAAAGAGCTTGCCGATAAAGATATGTTTATGATTTATATCCAAGATGTGAGGAAAATAAGCAATCTCCTTGGATAGAGAGATTTCTTTGGAGGAATGGTTCATACTGAGGTGGTGCTGCAGAGGCCTGAGAGGGACAGTTGCATTTACATTTGCAGAGGCCTGAGAGGGACAGTTGCATGAAAATGAGAACCAGGGAAGAACATCAATGCCTCAAACCCAAACTAGCTGGAGAACGATAAATTTTGGAAAAATAAAATTGAACATAAAAAAGAATTCTAGCGACATGTAGATAAAAAAAAACAAGGCAACAAGTTCGTTCTATGATAATTCCAAGTTCAATCCTTTTACGAAAAGGAAACAATTAGGACCCAAGAAGGCAAATCAAGAAGTATGAAAAATCGAGTACCAAAAAATTATTTCAAAGCTTTTTTGAGTTACTATGATTTCCCTTGCAGGACTCCTCATCTAAACAAGAGAAATGACAGACGAGGAACTTATTGTTATAGGGACTACTTCCATCATCCCCATGCATTGTAGCTTCGCCATCATGTTGAAGCTCAAGATGATTCCAAGTTTCTGACAAATTTCTTTGCCTGAGATAGTAAAGAAAAAAAAAATATAGTGTTAAGCCACTAAAAGTAATTAGTAAACAAACAACCAAACGTGTGCCTGCTGAAAATAATTACATAAAATAATGACTGAATATGTTTGAGACACCCGCTACCTGAAGGAAGTTGAAAACCGGTGCGCAGGCCAGATTATTAAAAACACCGCAGAAATTGAAAGAAACCAAGCTATTAAAAAGGAGAAACAAATACCAATTGGAGAACGAATTTCTACAACTTGTACCTGCTCTAAAGTTAGAAACATTATCACATTCCAAGATCCCAGCCTTCCAAAATTTGGAATAAAGCCCTTATAGAAAGCGAGCGGGCCCTGCAGAAAACATCATATTCTATAGTAATTTGCTCTAATTACTTGCACATGTAGATATGTTGAAAACATAAAATGGCCTAGAATATTCATACGAAACAAATGCTTCCCCTTAAAGTTAAAAGCATAAGCATATGCTAGAGATGCTAACTAGTTTGCTAAATTTCTTTTATTAACTAGTAAAGTGACATCTGAGAGATGATAAATTAATAATCAATTTTGATTATGGTATGTATGGAACAAATATGATAGGGCCGTGTCATCGTGATTTTATCAACTTTTCTATGTGCTGGCAACTAGTAAATGATTATTTGCAAACTTTTAGCATCCCTAGCATTACTCTAAACATAAATGTTATTTTGGATAAAATAGAATCTAAGATGCAATAATATACATAAAGTACTTGTACTTAGCTTATGATATAATTAATAGTAAACCTATTAACATGTCAATGACAACTCGTCTTCCTTTCCAGAAGAGAGATATATAAATTGAAAGGTAACCAATCATACATCATTCTTCAAAGTCTTGATGAAACAATCAAGTGTGCTTTTGTATGCAGAATCTCCCATCATTCTCGACTTGACCTGCAACAATAAATTTAAAAAAACAAAAAGCATTAAAACGAGGCATGCAACTGAAATATACTTGGCAGGAATATAATAAACAGGTCATTGACCCAAGAGGCCAGGAGAAGTGGGAATGTAAATGAACAGACTAGTTCATAAACAAAGGTTGCTAACTGCATTGTAGATGCTGGTTAATTTTGAACTGGTTATAATTTGAGCACATATTGCATATAATATCCTTATGAAATATTAGTGTTTATACAGATATAGACAGTTTACCACATCCACTGGGGAACCGATAGAAACAGCGAAAAAACCAGCTCCCAGACCAGCAAAAAGATGAGTGACAATATTATCTGTGAATCCAGGAATTTTCAAAATTGTCTGCATTGAATAGTAAAATTAGAAATAGTACATAATATTCTATGCAATTGTGGAAAAGGCATCAAATTGTTGCATATTGAGTTCACCTGCTTCACTTGATCATAGCTGGCCAGTTCAGCAGCATTTATAATAGCATTTCTTGCTACATTGGGTCCAATCCCAGTCCAGAGCGCCCCAAATCCTTCCTGAAAGTTAGAAAACTGGGTTAAAACAGACTGACTAATATAAAGGCTACATTTTTCAATTGTCTTTTTCTTCATTTCGATACCTGTCTCACAATCGTTGAGTATGCATTCAAAGCTCCAGAATAGCGCCTTGGTACACCAGGTGGTAATTTCCCTTCAGCCTGAAGTCTAACTTTCACAAGATCAGTTGGATTTGCCACAGTGATTCCAATGGCACCTGATTGATGAGAGAAGTGCATCACCAACACGGGAAAAAGAAAAAAGCAGGCATCCAGCAATTGTATCAGAATCAAGAATGTACATATTAGTAGACAAATTTTTCTTTCAAGTTATTTCTAAACATTGGCAAATTAAGCTCACCGGTAGTAAGTGCAGCAAGAATCTTCTTGGTCAAAGGAACATCTCCAACAAAGTCACTGCCCACATAAAAGTTCTTAACCTGACAACCATCGAGTTTTAATTGTCACAATAATCAGCAATCATACAGCACATAATGAATTAACTCACTACTTCACGATAGAAGACCATTTAGAAACCCACCGGCTCGTATAACCCAATTCTTAACCCTCCAAAAACACATTGTCGATGCAATCCAGGTACAATTCCTTTCCAAAGCGCTGACAACCCTTCTTCCCTAGCAATGGTAGCAACCGTGCCCAACATACCCCTGTATTTTGGCAAGGCCAATCCATCCCCTGCAACAGCCGACTTTTGTAACTGCAGCCTAACCTTTGCAGTGTCCAACGGAATTGTGCATATCTGCATTCATAGACAGTCAGCCTTAATAAGCTCTCTTGACCAATTATAAAACTTAGTCATTGCTCATCTAGGATAATAAATAAAGAAAGCGCAGTTCCAACAATTTAACTCAACAGATATAGCCTAAAAAAGCATAATTCAAGATACAATCTGTATGAAAAAATGATTGCCCAGTAACCATTGATTTCAATTAACATAATTAAACTAATTATTATGGATGATAGGATAAAGGAACTAGATTCAATTTAAATGGAATGAGTGATTTGTTTTTTTCAAAAAAAAAATAACAGCAAGTTTTTAACTGATGATAAGAGTGATATAAAAGAACAAAACCGTGTTAAAGGACAAAGATGTAGCTTTCACTAAAATATAAAATCTTCATTGAAAATCTTAATTTCGGATTATTACATTAGATTAGCTCAGATGTCAAAATCTTTTAAACAGAAAGACACGATTAAATCAACAAGACAAAAGCATGATCATCAGGAGCAAAGAAATGGGGACTAATTCATGTATCCTTACCTCAGCCAAACAAGTGGCAAAAGCACTACTGGCAAAAGTTCCGGCGAAGGAGATATCGGATTTACCTTTGGAATCGGCCACCATCTTTGCTTCAATTATTTTAGCTGGAGAGAAAATGAGAAGGAAGGAGGGAAAATAAATAAAGGAAGGGGAAAAGGAAACAATGGGATTCGTGCAAATCGAATCTTGGGAAAAGAGACCAACCAACTCGAGCCAAGCCGCAGGTGGCGCAAATGGTTCTTTTTTGATTTGTCTTGTTCACTTCTGCTATTCATCGTCATCCCTCATTTATTCTTTTGCACCCCACTACTCAATATTATTCATAGTCTGCTACACTCATATTAATCTAAAAAAATTAAAAATTAATTAAAAAAAAAACAAAAACAAAAAAAATTGATCAGTATCTTGCTGTGTGAGAGTAGTCTGCGTATTGGAATAAGGATTCCATATATATATATGTTTTATTTTTGCTATTCAATTTTATTTTTTTTCAAATTCCTTCTTATACATTATATTGATAGGAATTTTGGGTTATCACGTCCTACAAAAATATATTCAAGACTTAATTTGATGTTTGATCTATCAGAATAATATTTAATCTAATTGTTTGGAAATGATTAAAGCTTTGAGAATGAAATCAAATTTGATATTTAAATAAAATATAGCCTTTTGTCCACTTTTTTATTGTTCATGAGATTGTTTTTAAATTTAGTCCCTAGAGTTTCTGCATTTTTATTTTTTGGTCCCTTTAGTCCTTAAATTTTTAATTTTAATTCAAAACTTTATTTTGCTTGTTTTCCAATTTTAAGCTTTCATTTGACCACTTTTTGGCAATATAAAAGAACGATATTGATATTGATGTTGATGTTTATGATTTTTATTTGAAAAGAGAAATATTATTTAAGTATTTCTATCTTTTACATTGTCGGAATGGATATATTGGGCTTCGAGAGTTCTATTTTTTTATTTGTTTTTATTTTTTGATTGATTAAATAGTGATTTAAGGTTAAATTCGTTGAGATGGTTTTAAGTGTTTTTCAAGTGAAAAATAATTAAAAATTAGTTTTTTTTAAGATCCTGACTTTCCAAATACCTTTTTAGTAGTTGGATTTTGCAATAACAAACAACATATTCTCTGCTACTAAAAATAATATATTATCTGTTTTTTATATTTTTTAAAATGCTACTGTTTATCCAATTAAAAAATTAAAAATAAATAAACTCAAATATTTTAGTTTAACTTTACAAACCCACGATGCGTTGTGTGATTTTATAGCCCCGCGTGCATGACCTTCTTTGTTGTGAGTCAAAGTCTAACACATATAGCCCATGCGTTTTGGCTCATCTTATAAAGTTTTTTTTTTTTTTAATTAAAATCATTTCAAATAAAATAATTATATTTTTTTAACTTTTTCAAATAAAATTATAATAATTAAAATTAAAATTTATGTTTTTGGGATATTATTTCATTGAATAACATTTAATTTTGAATTTGTTTTTCACAGAAGACAATGATTACGTGGTTTTTTTTTATATAATTTTAGTGATTATTTATTTAGTTATTATACATGAATATGCATGTAGATTCTTTTTTAATATTTTTTATCATGAATATTCTATAAAAATGAAGTTCAAGTCATTATAGTTATTGTTAATATATTTTTTAATTGCTTCTACTTTTCATTCCATGAACTATTTAATGAACTATTTTTTTATAAATAAAAAAACTTTTTATTGTCAAAAAATGAAAAATTGAATGAATAAAAAAGGATTGGAAAAAATACATCTTTTCTCTATTATTTTATTCATTATATTTTCTAAAAATATTTTTTTTATTTTTATATAATTAATTAAAAAATAAATTCTGAAAAGTTTCATTTCACAATTAAATTTTCTCTTGATACTTGAAAATACGTTGAAAAGGACTCTACATTGTTTTTGTTTCTTTATTTTATTTTTCGTTAGAAAAAGTTAATCCAATTTACAAAGGGGCATGAGTCAACTTACTATTTACTACTATTCTTTCTCTGCATGATACATGGAAGTTTCATTTTAACCCATTATGTTATTAACTAAATAAAAATACATTAGATTTATCTATATTGAATATGAATATGTAGTGGCCTTGTATGGTGTTTTTTTTTCTAAAACAAGATTATTTGATTTTCTTAACTATAACTTTTTTAGCTATAACATGTAAAAAAAAAATATTTTAGTTTAATCTCTAATTCTAGATCTTTAACTATCATGTCATTAACATTCAATAAATATAGCAATTAAAAAAAACATTCTTGAATTCATGATGGTAGCTTCTTATCTTCAAGCAAAAAATATATGCAAAATCTAAAAAACTATTTTATCTCAATAATAGAGAGAAGTAGAGAAAAAGTTTTTAGCTCGATGTGTGTGTGTATTTGTAAGTTGGTAGTCATATATATATATTATAAATAGATCAGGACTCATGTCATAATAAGAGTACTTGATTATCCTTCCATCAAAGATAGAGTTTTCAAGTAATAAACTCTTAATTTTTTATTGTTTTAAATAAAATAATTATTATATGTGTGTGAGTGTTAATTTTAAATAAAATCATATTGTTTATTTGAGTCACTTAATGACTTTTGAAAGGAGATATTTTCTATGTTATTTCACTTAGATTATATACACAATATACAAGAAGCTAAGAATCGTAAAACTAAATACGACCAAAATATTGTTTAAATACTGAATGAAAAATAGTGCATGAATCATAACAGTTTTGTTTATGTGTAAACATGTATATCCTACCATGTATTACAATGTACAATCTTTACACAAACATGTATATCCTACCATGTATTACAATGTACAATCTTTCATAAATAAATTTTATTGGGTCAAATATCCTAATAGACATTATAGGAGCAAAGCTGTAAGCGCACTTATTTATTGACAATCAACTAGTTATTAAAAATAATCAAACATTTAAATGTACCAGGCCAATCTTATGCTCTCTGTATTTTTGGCAAATTCTTTAATTAAGAAAACTTTACTCTACAATATCTTAGAAGATAACATGTAACTTTTAGTTTCTTATAGATATCTTATAACTTTTTTGGTGGCTTTTCAATAAGCAATTCTTGGATTACTTTGATATTTGTCAAGCATTACTATTGCAAATGTTATGCGAGACCTAATACATACCTAGACATACATCAAACTCCCAACCAAAGATACATAAAGAATGTTTTTTTATTTTTTTATTTTTCAAAGCATTTTTCGAATATTAAATTAGATTAAATTTACCATCCTTCACTATAAGTATTGTATTAGCTTTGCATTCACTCATCTTGAATTTATCTAGAACTCTTTTAGTATAGGCCTTGTAAGATAGACCTAATATCCTTTTAAACTTGTCTCTATGAATCTATATGTCAATAACATAATTGAATTTACTCATATCCTTTATTTCAAAGTTCTTTGACAAAAAAATATTTAATATCCTTTAACAAAGCTTATATCTTTCGTTATAATACCTAATTTAATCCAACAAATATTTCATGAAAAGTCTAGGAAATTAGATTCATAACTCATAAGGATAGTATAATTACCTTTCTTTTTAAGCCATTACTTATGTTTTAGATAATATTTCTACTTGTGTCCCCTTTCCTTGTAGAAAAAGCAAACCATTATCTTGCTTGATCTAACATGTTTATATCCTTTAAAAAGCACCTTTCTCTTATTTTTTTATTATGTGTTGTTAACTTATTTTTCTCTTATTTTCTCATCTTTTTTTTTTTCTTTACGAGTGTTATAGTTAGCACTTTCATGATTTTCATGTTTTATCCTCTTCTTTTTTTATATATACACAGGATTAAAATCTCATTAACAAACCATTTTTCTTTATGTGTATTATAAAAAACCTTGAGTGGTTTATACTATGGAGGGAGAGTGTTGAATATCAAATAAATAATGAAGGATTTACAAATATAAACTTTCAAAGAATTAAGTTGAACAACAATGTCTCTTATTTTTATTATATCTTCATGTACACTTTTTGATATGTAATGTTTCATTATAGACAAGTTATCCATAAAGATGTTAGCCAATGCTTTATCAGAATTAACAAATTGTTCTTTAGGAGCCTTCATGTAGTTCTTGACCTTATTGCATCTAGGAATTAAGTCTCTAATGCTCTTACTAATATGAGCCTTTATAAGCATCATATTTAAATAATTGGATCGTTATCACATTTCATATTTTATTCTATATATGATGAAACTTAATTTCGTTAGCATATATGGCTCATCCACAAAAAATACAAGGTCTAAATTTGTACACCCTAATATTAAAAAGATTTTATCCTTTAATTTTTTTTTTAAATCCCATTCAGAGAGGGAATATGAGAATCATTGTTTATACAAATATTAAAAGCAGCTATAAAAATTAAGAATTTAAATAACATTTAGAAACAACATAATAATATAAAAAACCATAATAATTTTAAAAGCAAAATCTAAACCTCCAAGCAAATAGAAACGTATTCTATGATAGAAACGCATTCTATGCATAAGATTTGCTTTATTAATCATATATATTTAATAGCTAAATCTAAATATTATTATGGGTAGATGTGCATTAAACATTATTATAGGTAGATATGCATTACTGTATAAAATTATTAATTATAATTATTTTAAAAATTTATTAAATATTCAATGTTATTAAGATTTTGTTTTTAATAGCAATGGTATTTTCTTAAATACATTATTACAATTTTAATCTATTTATTTATCTCATGAATTTAGATTTTTATATTAGCCCAAGTCTATGTATTGATTAGATTTAAAAAGATAGGCTAAAAATTAACCCTATTAGGTTATTAGGTCTTTTTAGCCCAGTCAAATTTCTATAGGTTTTAATTAAATTAAACCCAAACCTAATTAATTTGAGTTTTAACTTATACCTGAAATATAATCAAATTAATTATTTTTTTTATTATTTCTATTTAGTTTTAATTCTAGCCCAATTTAATTTTATTAGGCCCATTAATCAATTATTATCAGCTCTAAACCTTAAACTCAATAACTTATATAAAAGATCTAACCTAACCAAAATTTTAATTAGCCAAACTTTTATTTTAAATTAGATTTTCATCCAAGCCCAAACCAATTTTAATTTTTTCCAAGATTAAAAATCATACAACCTCTTGAATTTAATTAATTTATTATGACCTAAAATTAAGACCAAATTAAATATATATAAAAAATATTTCTTCCCTTAAGCTTTCTATTCCTTCATACCCCTGGAATGCCTAGAACACTGAAAATCAATTTTAAAAAAATTCTAAACATGTATTGATTTTGTTTAATAAAAATCCTAGAAAGTTGAAATGAAATCATATAATAATAAGTACAATTATCATAACTCGTGAATAAATTTAATTTTGAAATTTCTAAAAATTACCATCCATAAAAGTTTTCTATTCAATAAAGAACTTTTAGGAATAATATTACAACCACATATGCGATATTCATAAAATATAGATGACAAATTAACTACATATGGCTGGAGAGACATCACAAAAACAGAAAAAAATGGCTAAAATCACCATCTTATATTATTTTCCTTTAGATTTTAATAATAATAATAATAATAATTTTTTTAAATTATTTTATTGTAGCATATGGTATATCTTGTTCCTTCATACCTTTGAGATATTCATGTTGTATCTAATTGGTGACTTCTTTAGTTGTTCATGGAAAGGACATGGGTTCAAGTCTTAATAGTCACGTAATAATATTTTTCAAGCACTGTTACAATGGCATTGACAGTAGCTCAGCAGTGAGTACTCATCTCAAAAAGGGGTTTAAATCTCAAAGACCCCTTAATTATTTTTTAAATTAGCTCTTATATACACCTAAATTTCAAATCTCAATCTCCTCACATATCTCTTTTTAATTTCCAAATCTCACTTTTTAATCACTGAAGTCTAATTCTCTTAGTTAATTTATGAAATCAATGTGCGGGAGTTTAAAAAAAGGTTTGCAGTTAAAATTTCCATCTTTACTATTGTGACGAAAAAGCAAATAAATTTAAGCACGACTATTTATTTATTTATCTTATTGTTCTAATGAGAAATTGAATAATCAAATAAAATCACTAAAATAAATTCTGAATTCATAAAATTGGGATTAAAAATAATATTTGAATGGAATAACATGAAAGTTTCAACTTGGTTCTTTATCACAGTGTAAAAAAAATAATTTAGTTTAATTTATAATTCTATATCTTTAACTATCATACTTTTCACTTTTAATAAATATAGCCGAAGCATTTAATTTATAAAAAACATACTTGAATGTATGATGTTAACCTTTCTTGTCTTTAAAATAATAATCATGTTGTTGCTCTATGCAAAATTTATAAAATTATTTTATTTCTGAAGTCTAATCTATTTTTCTGTAAATTATGACTCGATGATAATCAAGTACATGTATTTATAGACAAGTCAAGACTTGTATCTTAATAAGAATAAAGTTTTAAAGCAATAAAATTTTAAACTATTGATTATTTTAAATAAAATAATTATTATGTGTGTGTATATTATAATTTTAGATAAATTATATTGTGCATTTGAGTCATTTAATTACTCTTTAAAGAATATATTTCCTATATTATAATCTACTAGTAACAAATCTACTGTATCTTCTAATGGATGAAAAAGGACGACGATAAAATGATAGTTACTATTCTTTATCACTAGCCGTTGTTCGGGTCATCAAGAAAAAAAGCTTATCCACCTCTGTTGAGGTAATCTAATGATAATTTTGTGATTCGAGAGTAACTTTTTGTAGTAAGCTGTAACTTACCCGTTGGGTGCTTATTCACGAGCCATTACGTACAAAGTTTTCAACAGTGGTGAGGAAGCCTTGGCTGTAATTGGTTAGAATGGGCAAGCAAACAATGCAGGTAGTTTGCGAGGATAGAGCAAGAAATTATCCAGAATCTCGTCGATATTATAATCCTGGAGAGAGACATGGTTATCTACTTGAAAAGACATTCGGGAAAAAAACAATTGGCACTTATCTTGAATGAGTTTCTTGCTTGTGATAATGTCTTTTAAAGGATTTTTTTAAAAGAATTTTTTTTTATAATATATTAAAATAATATTTTTTAGAAAAAATTATTTTTATAATTAATACTAATTTAAAAATATTAAAAAAATAATTTAGAACAATATATATACATAGATGATTGCTTTTATTATAGATCATGAGTGCTAATTATTAAATTAGTTAATATATCCACGGGCATTTTAAGCTCGTTTATGAGGTAGGGTGATTTTTAAATTAGTTAAATTACATGTTTTAATATTTTAAAAATTATAAATTTAATTTAAATTTAATAAAATATTATGTTAATTTTTATTATGTATGATAATGAGTTATGAATTGTTATATTTAATGAATTGTGATGTGTGTTGATTTTTTTAATTGTGCTGGGGAGATAAATTGAGAGTTGTGTTTTTGAATTGTGATACATAAATTGTGTTGTTTTTTTAAGACAAAAAATTGAGAATATAAAAAAAATTGTCATAATCATTTTTTCAAAAAAATTATATGCTTTTTATCTTTTTAAAAAAATTATATATTTTTATCTGATTTACGAGTTATAATATAAAACTTACAACTCGTGAATCATAAATAAAATTTATGATTTACTAAACATCATTTTATTTTATATTTTTTTTATTATATATAAATATACTGATATAATAAATTGAACTGACCTTATTTATATCATCTTTCAAATAATTTAATTTTAACTTTTTCAGTTAAATTAATCACATGTACAAAACATTTTAAATAGCTTATTTTTATTTAATTATTATAATGATTTTTTTAATATTATTGTTTTTTATTATTTAATTAAAATAAAATTAATTTATTATCCAGGTATAGCTATAACTCAAATTATTTATTTAAAACATGTTTGCAGTAATTAAACACCATAGATAAAAAATAAAAATAAAAATACAGAACCACAGTGCAACGCAGGCCAAGATCTAGTTGTTACTGTATGTTGTCTGCTTACTCTTATTTACTGGAGGGAGGAAATGAAACGGTACAAAAATTAAAACCCGCTCAATCTGTGGGTCCGACCCGGCATGGGGACCTTATCTCCATGTCAATTGAATTGGAAGGATTGACTTCGATGCGATTTGGTTCCTTACCAGCTAAGAAAAAAATAAAATAAATAGAGGGAGTAAGTATTGGTTCATATATAATCGATCAATCGCCAATAATTTCCACTCTCTCAAAAACAATCGATCATGGAGGAACCTCTGTTTTCAGGTACAAATTAATTCCATCGTTCTCTTTGTTGTATGAACTTCTATCATTTCAATATTATAATTTACATAAGATTTCTGTTGTGTGTGTTGAAGAAAACAGGAGTGAGTTGGGAGAAAGCGAGAAATGGAGCTCCTATCAGTACGTGGGGAGAACCGGTTCGGTATTGCCCACCGCTTCAGTCAGCGTCGATGAAATCCGGTCAGCTGCTGCCTCTTCCGATTATTACCCGCCCTCCATTCATGCCGCCTTGCTCACCTCGCCTGAACCCAATCCCAACGGTATATATATACATATATTTTCAGTGTATGGAAATTACATCACTAGTTTCAATTTCCCTTTTCTATCTTAGCCTAAGGTTTTATGCAGTGAATTCAATCGTGCAGTCAATTGTTGTGACTATTTATTTATTTATGTATTGCATCACATGATATCTGTCTTTTGGAAGTTAAATGCATCCATCATTATTTCGATCATGAACGGGAATATTCCTTCTTTCCTGGGCAGAGCAAGAAGCCATTGTTTATCAGGGAGGATATGTGGGTGGTGACTATGGTGGATCGACCAATGAATTTCAGAGGTATAACAAAACCTTTTTACCCGATTTGATATGATAGATTTTATTGGGACTCATTATATGTATGGCTTGCTCGCTTGGTTCATTACTGGTTTGGGTTTTGCATTATTAAGCTTGTAATCCTCTATCTATCCCCGTTATTTTCCCTTTTCACTTCAAGGATTTTACGCTTTCTTCTTATAGCCTCGTTTTGTATTATGAAAATACTAGCAAGATACGACTCGGAGAGTAAGTTTGCACGATACTGAAGAGGTCAAGAAGTTCTTATTTGTCTTGTTATATGTCATGCAGTATTAACTAACTTTGTGCCAATCCATTCATCGTTGTAACCTTACATTTTGTTTTTATGAAATACAGATGCGAAGATCTAAAGGGAAGTAAGAGACAAAATAAGTCTGTTAGACATCATCTTTACCTTGGGTATTTAATTTCACTGTTGATTTAATCTCATTTTTACAGGCAAATATTGGACGAGGTTGAGATTCGAGAGTTGCTCATTGATCATGTTGGCCATCGTTGTTGTTGGGGAAGTCGTCCTGCTCGGACCTGGAAGATTCATGCTGTGGAAGACTGCAATGTCTATATAGGATCTCTAGAAACTTTCATAGAGGAGAGGGAAATTATTAGAGAAACAGAGCCGTATCATGGTGGGAATATTGTTGGAAAGGATACTGCACCTGAACTTGGCGTCTGGGAATTGGATCTAAGATCTCAGTTCCCTGTGCTCTTCATACCTCATAAAGAAACAAGGACCAAAGTTCCTCATTCTGAAATTGTTGAGAAATGCACAGGTATGCACGTTAGTATGTTGGAATAAAGGACTCTTTTGTGTTTATGCTATAAAATTCTTGATTCAGTCTGTTAGAAGTTATATTTACCTAGGTTATTTACTTTCCCTGTTTTCCTGTACCTCTTTTAGTCTTATTTTTGTGTTTTCCAATTGGATAATCTTCTATCCATGCTGTGCAAGAGGCATCTGTGCCCGTATTTTAAAATTTCAGCTATACTGCTCATTTCTTACACAGCTCTACTAAACATTTGCAGATTGTGCTGGGAAGGGAGATATTGTATGTACTACATGCAATGCCAACCAAGAGCCTGGAATTAATAAGGAGAATCAGATGTTTGATTGCCCAACCTGCTATGGAAGGGGTTTGATCGCTCATAGAGATGGGTCTGACACAATGTAAGCTGTTTTTTCCCATTCCCGATCAGGTTATGACTTGTGATCAAACTTTTAATGTTCTTGTTGCACATTAAATTGTACAATTAACTAGCGTAGAAATTCTCAGTTTGTTGTCTGAGTAATATCCAGTCTGATAAACTCAACTGTTGGTGCTGGAACTAATAGCTACTAACTATATATTTTGTAATGATGTCATGTTTAACAAGGTTGTTGGCTTTGCTCTTACTAATTTTCCTCTATAGATGCACAAAGTGTTCTGGAAAAGGGAAAATTCCCTGTGCAACATGTGGATCTCGTGGGCTGATAAAATGCAAGAAATGCATTGGAAGTGGCGGTCTTTTGTCATGCAATATGGCCATTGTTAGGTGGTACGTATATGAGTTTCTGCTGATATTCTCACTGCCTGTAAAACTTTGATGCTGATGCAATTTCTTTACTGTCTGAACTTTCTCGTCTTTGTTTAAAGAGGAGGCCAGCGTCTTCATTTTTAGTCACTGTTTTATGTTTCATCAACCTACAGTTTATGTTAAAAAAAATAAAATCTTCAACCTTGCCAATGGAACAACAATCACTTTTCTATTTTAAGGATAAATAATTGTTTAAGTTATGAATTGACAATACAACTATTATCATCATATCTCATGCCATAAATTCATCTCTGCTGATGTGGTTCCTCAAAACTAAAAATATCTTAAAGCTAAATCGTTCGAAATGTTTTGTATCTTCAGGATTCTGTGACTAGCAACCCTTTTAGGTACTGCAGTGACATTACGTACTGTAACCTTACAATTACTTATGCTACAGCATGTATGAAGTTTCCTTGGGTGGCATGAGATATTTTCAAGGTTTTGTTACTATGGCATGTATATAATAACTAGCTTCCAAGTATGCATCTATCAGCTAAGAATGATTTGTGCTTATAATGGTGCAAACCTTGCTATTAACAGGAAGACCCTTTCAACTCGCAAAGTTAGCGCAACAAGTGGGGCAGCATCAGTTCCAGATGAAGTTTTTCATAGAGCCAAAGGTGTCCAATTATGCAACACTCAAGCACATCAATGCAGCCCGGCATTTTTCGCTGACTCCTTCTTTCTCAATAAGTTTTCATCCGAAGTTATTGCTGAGAGAGCTTCTGTACCTCCCACTGCCAGGGTCATATGTGAGAGGCATGCCATTTCTGTTGTGCCAGTGACACGCGTCACCATGGCTCATCGTGATCGTTCATTCAGTTTTTACATTATTGGTTTTAGCAGGGAGGTATACTTGAAGGACTACTATCCTTCTAGGTTTTGTTGGGGGTTATGCCCTTGCTTGGAGTGGTTAAAGTTGTAATTAGGCGTGTCTCTTAAATTAGAGAATGTGGGATCTCTGATTTTGTATGCTTCCTGTGTTTGTGAGCTTGTTTTCTTTTATGTGTGAGAATAACTAGCGGCTGTCCTATCTTGAAGAGATATTTTTATCTCAGTATTTTGTTGTATATTTTATGTTCCCCGTTACTGAAATGAGATATACAGATCGTGAAACATATAAACTCCTTTCTATTTTTAAATTATCTATATTGATCCTTCCTTGTTTTAAGGATCTTGCAGCATATAAACTTCTTTTTTACCTTATAATCATTCACAATTGATCGTTGCTCATCTTATATCTTTCTATTTTTAAATTATCTATATTGATCCTTCCTTGTTTTAAGGATCTTGCAGCATATAAACTTCTTTTTTACCTTATAATCATTCACAATTGATCGTTGCTCATCTTATATCCTTGTTCACACTGTCTTTGATTTATATAAATCTGAAACAACCTAATCTTTACGTAAGTCTGAACTTGTACCATGTCAGGGTTGACTTGTTCTTCCTATCAGATATACTTTACCTCTTTTTAGTTATAATATTTGTGTACTTATTCCCCTTTCAAATATCCTTTTAATAGCTAGTTTGTTTCTCAAATTAAGAGTTAATGAGCAACTAAAAAGCTTTGACATCTTTATTTACACTTTTGTCAATTAGTTTCCTTGGTATAATTTAAATTTCCAAATTTTGAATTTTCTCTCTATTTAAAAGTCCTTTAAGTTCTTTTTTATCACCATACCTCTCTTAATTTCTAATTGCTTCAAACTCTTCTTCTTAGACCTCTCAATGCTTAGAAAAACCACCAAAACTTCAATAAACCCTAGGCACAATATTATGGATGAAGTTTCAGCATTTCTCTTCCCTCGAATGGTCAAAATCCTAGGTATCCACCAAGCTTCTTACCTTTCTTCTTACAAGAAATTCTTCTATCATGACTCGACCTAACTTTGGATGGAGTTCTATTGTTTTAGCCCTCTTTTCATCTAGATACCAACCTTTAACCATATTTTTGGTCCTGTAGTTCATCGAAATCCTGATTTTCCTGAAATCCCACATGTAAGCAAGGATGTGGCCATCAAAATTCATAATCGTGTTATTCCTTTTTGTTTCATCCCGAAAAATCTCTTAAAGTTAGTTGGGAAATATATCTTAATCATGCTCTTCTCTTAAAATAAAACTCAGACATAAAAAATAACCTTTTATGACTGAAAAGTAGCTAATCAATTGTTTTCTTTCTATTTTATAGTTTTTTAGTGATTTTCTCTCTCTCATATCTGAAACTGAGATTGAAAAATAAAAAAATAAAGTTTTGGATTAAAATTAAAATTCTAAAAATCAAAGGGACCATGAAGAAAGATGAAACTAGGTGGACTAGAAGGCACTTTTATAGCGTGGATTTCAAACTAGACAAGCTATTTTGCTGTGTTTTATATTTTAATTCTCTATCTTTTAATTGTTTTTTTCTATAATGAATTATAAGAAATTACCTTTTAATTTGGTCAAAAAAGATGCAATCAGAAAAATTAAAAATTAATAACCATAATAAATAAAAAACAAAATAAAAAAAAACCATTGCTCCAATTCACAATGAAATGTGAAAGAGAGCACCATAAATGTATAGTGAAAGGAGCACAATGCATCTAAAGTGAAAAAGCTACAGTAAACATCTTACATGATTTAATTGTTTTATATAATTAACAATTAAATGGAGGGGGTTGAGATTACCATAACAATATAAACAATCACACTAAATATAAGAGTTAACTTGATCGACTAATAAGTAACCTGGTGTTAGAAAAAGAGGAGAAATTACCCCCTTAATATTTTAGATTTTCTACTTTAGTCCTTATGCGTTTTATTTTTTCCCAAGTATTTCAAATAAAAATACTTCAATTCCTCCAATAATTTTTTTTTTTTACTTATAACAAATTTATCCTCCTCACTAAATATCTATAATTTTGCCACTTACTATAAATGAGCTCAATTCCACGTAAATGTAAAGAACTGAATTCATAATCTTGCCAAAAAATACATTATCAATGAATTTTAGTCATCATTTTCTTTTTGTGTTTTGGTGTGTTTTGTGTTTGATTTGAAAAAAATATCAAATTAATATTTTTTATTATTTTTTAATAATTTTGATGTGCTGATATTAAAAATTATAAAAAAATTTAAAAAATTATTTTAATATTTTAAAGTGAAAAATATGTTAAAATATCTTATGTAGTTATGCTATAACAATATCTCAAGAAAAAAATAAAAAATTAATAATTATAATAAATAAAAAACAAAATTAAAAAAAAAATTGCTCCAATTCACAGTGAAATGTAAAAGAGAGCACCATACATGTATAGTGAAAGGGAGCACAATGCATCTAAAGTGAAAAGGCTACAGTAAACATCTTTCATGATTTAATTGTTTTTATATAATTAACAATTAAATGGAGGGGGTTGAGATTACCATAACAATATAAACAATCACACTAAATATAAGAGTTAACTTGATCGACTAATAAGTAACCTGGTGTTAGAAAAAGAGGAGAAATTACCCCCTTAATGTTTTAAATTTTCTACTTTAGTCCTTATACGTTTTATTTTTTCCCAAGTATTTCAAATAAAAATACTTCAATTCCTCCAATAATTTTTTTTTTTTACTTATAACAAATTTATCCTCCTCACTAAATATCTATAATTTTGCCACTTACTATAAATGAGCTCAATTCCACGTAAATGTAAAGAACTGAATTCATAATCTTGCCAAAAAATACATTATCAATGAATTTTAGTCATCATTTTCTTTTTGTGTTTTGGTGTGTTTTGTGTTTGATTTGAAAAAAATATCAAATTAATATTTTTTATTATTTTTGAATAATTTTGATGTACTGATATTAAAAATTATAAAAAATCATAAAAAAATATTTTAATATATTTTAAAATGAAAAATATGTTAAAATATCTCATGTAGTTATGCTATAACAATATCTCAAGATAATCCATCTGGATTATGTTCTTTCTAATTTCCCTTTAGTTTAAATAGAAATCCAAAGTTAAACTTAATAAATGTCAGAGTTTATTTATTATGCATTACAGAATGAAACTTAATAAACAAATTTTTTGTTAAAGAAATAAATTTAATTAGCTCTTGAACTATACAGCAATTGATGAATCAGTCCCTGACTTTTAAATTTTGCTAGTTTCTCTCTTACCTTTTTTCATGTGGGCTTGCGGCTGTTAAGATTAAAGGAGCATCTAATATTCAACTAAATCACGCGCGAGTAAACATTGTCTGTTATAAACCAAAAAAAAAAACTATATATATTGAAATAAATCAAGCACATTAATCTTATACCGATTCTTACTGTAATTTAATTCAATTATATAGTTAAATTTAAATTTAATTGATAAATAACTCAAATTAAAATGTTTGTAAGAGATAAAACTTAATTATTTTTGTTTTTTATATTACTTTCATTGCAGAAAAAAAAAGGTACATGGATAGCTTTTTCATTGTCTTTGCAAAATGGCAATAGCTAGTACGTGCTGTGTTGATATTGCTCAGTTGCTCCTATTCAGTTGTGATTGCCCAATACAAACAAATTTTGAATTTTTTTTTGATGTTGGTGTTTGGCGTGCTTGTATATATTTTGAGTAATTATATGTATTTTAAAATTAATAAGTATATAAAATTTAAATCAATAATTTTTATAAATTAAATTTAAAATTTAATCAATTAAATTAACAAATTTCGTATGTTTAATATATTGAAAAGAGACTGCATCCAGCGAAAACTGAAACTATCTCTTTTTTTTTTTTTCCTG